ATTTAGTTTTGTTTATTAGTTTTAGTATTATTTCACCTGTTGTCTTTGTAAATTGTAGAAGGTTTACACGGATAACAATATCTCAAAAATCTTAAAAAGACAAAATACCTCAAAAATCCGAAATCAATTTTGAGAATATGTATAGTTAGAATTCATATTAACTATAGTATAATTAAGATAGAAAAGGTTAGTTGATAATCAAAAGGATCTCCAAGATTTCAAGTGATATCTTGATCATCTTGAATTCCAATTGAAATCTTTAACACAGGTCAGACACAAAAGAATAGGTGGTGCAAAAAGGAATCCTGATTTTAAATGATTTATAATATAGGAGCAAATAGGATGGTCAATTTTACTGGTCTATAATATAGGAATTCTGATTTTAGCTGATCTATAATATAGGAATTACCATTTGGTACAGTGATTTTTTTGTGTTTGACTAGTGTAATTAAAGAGATCCCAAGTGAGGTATGCATCCCAGGTGAGATCTATTTATCCTTAAACCTCAGACACTAATCAAATACAAAAGAATCACTGTACTGAATGGTGATTCCTATATTATAAATAAGCTAAAAATATGAATTCCTATATCATAGACCAGCTAAAATCAACTGTCCTATTGCATCTTACATTATAAATCAGCTAAAATTGGAATTCATTTTTGCATCACCTATTCTTTTGTGTTTGACCTGTGAGAGTAGGCATTAGAATCCCAAGTGAGGTTCTTAGACCCAGCATAGAAATGTATATATAAAGACAAGAGAAATTACCTTGTCCAAGTTAGTTTGTAAAGTTCATAAAATTCCTATTTCTTTTATTTTAATAAAAATAACAATTACTTTATACTTTTACCTTAAAGGTTTCTGAAATAACCAAAGGAATCCTTATATCCAAACTCACCTTTTATTCTTTTATTTTGATTTATTGATTTTTGATTGTTTTTAGTTTATAGTTATTTTATTTTTGATTTGATTATTGATTTAGTTATTTTATTTGATTGAGTATTTTTATTTATTGATTAATTATAGTTGTTGATATCTGTTGATTAATTATTTAGATAAATTGACATACTCTTGTTTAAATGAATTCTTTCTATATTTTATATTCTATTTTTAATATTTATAATCATTCACATAATTTAACCAACACAAGTTCACTACCACTATAAATTAGTAAAGCTTGCTCTCCCAGGTAGTAACAACGTTTTTCTTTAAATCGGAATATTTCAGTGAATATTGATCATATTGTAGTCCTGAACAAGACGCTTCTGTCTATCATACCTTAGTAAAAAATCGCTCGCTATCACGTAAATCATGAGCAAAGTCATAAAAACGTAAATATTTTCGAAAATTCACCTAGGTCCTGAAAACTTTCCGAAATATCCGCCTTATAAATATTCATGATGTTAATTACGAATTTTATGTCACATAGATAGTTTTTAAAAAAAAAGATTTAAGAATCGAATAATTCTTATAAGAAATTCATTAGTTCCAATTTTAGAAATAGTGATGATCCGATTTTAATATATACAGTACGTATATTAAAAGTACCTCATCATAAAATACTACTTGATAGGTCAGTTGTTCTTCCCAGCAAATAAAGTTAAATTATCCATTTTACAGTTCTAACAATATAATGACAATAAATAGCTTACGGATTATTGGTTTAATAAGACTTTATTAGAAAAAATCTTGGAAAAAATGCGGAATTTCTCCAGACCCCGAATAATTTGATCCACGATTTAGTTAATGAACCTAACTACTAAAAAATAAAAAAATTTTCATTAAAAAGATCTTAAAATTTGCAAAGATAAAATTTAATATGTACAAAAATTAAATATTTGTTATTTATGAACAAAAAAAGCTTTATCGTGATTCCTCCATGGGTAATATTGTTTAGTATTATTGGATATTATTGAATATTATTGAGTATTGATGATGAAAAGATTTGGATTTAGAAACTAAATATTCTGCATCGATTAAGATTAAGAAAAGAACTTTTAGGTTGTCACAATAATCAGTGAAATTATATGTGGTGATAAAAACTAGGATGATTGGATAAAGATGGTTAATTTGTAATTGACGAATACAATTAGAAATTAAATTTTCTTTCGATCTCTAATTTGAAGACAAGCAATATCCAAAGGTATTTGAAATTCAAATAATAACCTGATAATTTGGTAGTTTCCAACATTGTTAAACTGGATAGACTGGTTACTGTTTGTGAAGTAAATGAATCATTCATGTTATTTATATTAAAGAATCCTAAGCTTTGGGAAAAGTCTTATCAAGAATGAAAGAGTACTTTTGCAAGTACCCTTTAAATAATTTAAATTAATTTCACGCAAATCAGTAGCTTGGTACTGAATATGAGAGTGAAGAATCAAATGCCATTGAACTTATACGTGAGTATGATGTCAAATTTAACTAATGAATAATGTAACATTAGTAAATTGAGGGGAAGATTTGCTTGATTCCTGATTTACCACCAAAGTCCAAGTTACGATAAACCAATGTTGATGCAATAAAATATCTATTCCAGGTTTTAGAAATAGCTGAAAATCTGCAGAGTTTTAATATGACTTTAAATAATTATCAATTTACCTCATTTATGTATTAAATAAGTAATAAATAATTTATTTATCGTATCATTCATTTTTTATTCATTTCATTATAGTCAATCAAATTTATCAAATTGAAAACGAATAAAAAATTGAAAAAAATCCCTTGTTCGAAATATTTATTGGATAGTGTTCAATGTGATCTTAAAATGATTTATATATTTTGGCGGTTTGTATAGTAATTCTTACTTGATTACGGGTATGTCGAGGGTTAAATATTGATTTAGGAAAATATGATTATAAATTATTGGCAATACAATACAATTTATACGATTTTAAGGATAAAAATTTATGGAATATGTATTAATTTTTTTTTTTAACAGTATATTTATAATTTATTTTATATATATTGTGTAGTGCGACGACTCTCGTTTGTTGTTTATTATCCTTATTTGAATAAATATAATTGATATAATTAATTAAAGAACGCTTTTAATGCTTTATGTTGGTAATGGCAACTCAAAATTATAAATAAAAAAAAAAAAAAAAGTGACCAAAATATTCAAAATAATTTCAAATAAATACATCATCAAAAGTATTAATTAATTACTTTCAATTTTTAACGCATAATGAAAACTTAATAAGAAATTCTGGTCTAAATAATTTTAATTTCAATTTTTTTTAATATCAAACGATTATTACAATTTATTTTTTATTTTACTTTTATTTTCGTCTTTCAATCTTGGATGATGACTTGTATTGTTTTTTAAATTTAGGAATCTGTTTTTTTTTCTTTACATTTCTTTTATTTTTTTTATCATTTGATCCAATTTTTTTGCTATTAATTAAAGAATCGAGAAAATGAATGAAATTAATGAATAAAGAAATTAAAATAATAAACAGAAATGCTCTTAGGAAATAATTATAATAATACTTTTTAGTTCTATCCTCAACAATATCATCATTATTATTACTATTATTCAATTTTCGTTTTTTATTTATTTCTCGATTATCGTTGTCTTTATCATTTCCTTTATCTTTATCATTATCATTACTTTTATAATTATCTTTATCATATTTCCCTTCTGAAACATCAAAATCTTCTACAACTGTTACTGTAGTTAATGTTTGTGGTGTTATATATTGTTTTAATGATTCAGTATTATTATTATCATCTTTATTATTATCATCTTTATTTTCACTCTCCTGATCATTTTCTTCTTTAATTCCATGGACCTCTTTACAATATATATATATATATAAACATTAAAAATATTAACAATGTATTCAATGTATTCAATTTTTTAAAAATTTGGTAAGAAATATCAAATTATAAAAATATTATTTACTATTAATTGCAGTTTGAATTGCTGTCAACCTTTCTTCAATCTCTTTCTTTCTTGCATCCTTAATCTATATTTACATACAAATTCATCATCATCAAAATTCATTATTTATTTAAAATAAAATACATAAAATATCACAAATTAATGATTTATTTTTTGCCTACAGCTTTCTTAGATTCTGCTCTTGCCTTCTTTTCTTTTTGTATAGCTGCTTCTTTAGCTTTCTCTTTTCTTTCTAATTTTCGCTTATGAAATCCAGTTAGAAACTCTCTATGATTATATTTATATATATTAAATCGATTAAAACTCGGGATGTATCTAATTTATATAAAATTTATAATATAATACCTTCTTGCATCCTCGTCAAATACTATTTCGGTAGGTCGACTATTCTTTAGTTTACGTTTTTTTGAATATATCTTATTTCCTCTAGTCAATAAAGTTAAATTATTCATTCTATGAGCAAATAATGACAATAAATAATGCAAAGCTTAACGTTTGATGAAATGACTTTATTAAAAAAAAAAAAAAAATACAATATTGCATAAATATGGAAACAGACCCCCCAAAAATAATTTGACCCTAGATCGTTTAAATCACGTGTAAAATGCATAAATTAAATTAATGTTAATAATATTTAAATATAAATGTGTCTAGACGATATTAAATACTTTTATTTCTATGTTCAGAACGTGTTTAGAAAGGAATATTTTTATTTATAAAATTCATTAACTTGCGTTTACACGAAAATTAATTTATTAACTTCATTTCCTATAAAGAAAAAAAAAGGTAAACTGAAGAAAAATAAAAAAAAAAGAAAAACGAGTAAACTTAAAAGAAATAATACTTACAATTAAAAAAAAGCTTAAGGAAAATTTCTTAAAGTTACAAGCCACGGCATAGAGAAATATGCAGCGGCCAGTTTAATTTTCGAAATATCTTCATCCGTATAATACAAAATGTCAAATAATGGTCCCATCAATTTCTCAAGGTAATTGGTGGTAGCATCTTCCCCATACGCAAGGTAATATGCTCCGAAATATGTCTCAAATGCATCAGCATGAATTTTTCTCACTATATAAAAATTCATCTTATTTAACTGATCAAGTTTAAGTGTTAGCGAATATGCGGCCAAGATTTTGTTGGTAACCATTAATATGGAAATATCTCGAATTAATTTTAACTGGGTTTCTCTAAAATATCTTCGATTAGCAAATCTCAACACACAAACCATTAAAACCCTATCACCTAACCATTCCAGTTTCTCCCAATGTAATCTATGATCCTTAAACCCAATAGCTAACTTTTCCCAATAATAATCATCAATAGGAGGTAATGGAGGAAGGTCGGTTCTCATATTCGTTAATAAAGTAATTACTAAAAAAAAAAATAATAAAAATAACAAATAATAAAAAAAATATAAACAAATACAAAAAATTCATTATTTTTATTTTATTTTTGTTATTTTTTTTTTATTTTATTTTATTTTTGTTATTATTTTTTATTTTTATTTTTATTTTATTTTTATTATTTTTTATTTGGAATATAAAGTATTCACCTCTATTCCTGTCGATAAGATTAGATTCGTAATATTCGTATCCGGGTTTGAAATCATATGATTTCAATAAAGATAGATTCAATTCAGTGATATTTCCTTTTAAATCATATTTAACAAGATTACTATCCTTATTATTATCACCAGATTTCTCTGTTGGCAAAAATTTTAATTTCTTTCCTTTTCGATTAAATACCGGAAGTTCCCTTTTCTTGTATCTTTTTCCTGATGAGTTCAGAGGAATATAATCGGGTTGTGAACCTTGACCTTCATTCGATTCATCTGAGAAACGTAACCTTTTTTTCGAAAGACCTTGACTTGGAGACATATTACTAACATTGGAAGATTCCCCTTTTTTAACATAATCATCAACAATTATACATTCATCATTATCATCATCACTATCGTCGATGACAATAAATTCATTACCATTTTCGATAACAATAACTTCATCTTTACTAAACGAAAGTTCACGGACATATTCTTTAATACTACTATCTTCAGGTTCATCCCTATAATTTTCATCTTCAAAACTTTCATCTCGAATCTCTTCAGTTTCATTATCTCCATCATCATCGCTATCTAATACTATTGGATTATCAAAAGAATTACCAGCCGTTTGATCCTTTATTAAGTTCTTATAACCATAATTTGCGTAAATCTCTCGTAATTGTTGATTCATTTTTTCTGGGCCATAATTCGCTGAAAGTTCTTTTTCAGTAAATGGTGGTACAAGATAGAATAATCTCTTAATTCTAGCAACTGCTACCTCCAATAGAGATTCTGCTCTGTGCAAACGCAGATGCACTTTCCTTTCTTCATATATCCTGTCACCAATTGGCTCATTTTCATCATAATTTTTTCTATCAACATAATTGAGTTTAGGCAGTTGTTTAGGTAGTCGTTTAGGCCGTAAGCCATGTTTCTTTTCACTGATTGATACATATTTAGATGAGTTAGACCGTGCGTTATATCTTCTTTCACTAATTGATTCATTTTCATCACAATCTTTATACTTGAATTTATATTCATCGTCATCATAATCTTTTCTTTTATCAAATTTGAGTTGAAGGATCGTTCTATCTCGTAAATTATATCTATGCTTAACCGGATTGGATGCAAAGAGCCCTTTTGCGCGGCTTTCGCGTGTTGCCTCTCTCGGTCGACTTTCCTTATCTAAATATGTCTGAATCGCGTTCTTCGACATTTTTGAAGTTGAATCAATAATTTTGTCGAGCTCAAATTTTGGCTTGGCTATTTGTTCATTTTTTTCCTTTAAAACAACGTTGTTTTGGGTATTTTTAATATTATTGTATGCAGAGATTTCTTTTTCGAGAGGGGAATCCCCTTGGAATACAGTATAGCCCAAGTCATAATGTTTGTTTACTATTAACTTTGGGTTTATTTGTATGTCATTTAAATATTCATTAAAAATTGGGTGAATTGGTGGCATATTAGGCAGTTCACGTAGAACGCCGGAGAAATCCTTTTGACGCATATTTGATTCTTGCAGTTCTTCCGCCATTTTGATCTTTGCAAACAAGTTGTTCAAGGAGAAAATATAGGCAATAACCACCAAAACAAAGTTTTTATCTCTCGTGGTTGTACTGATCTCCCATGTGATTTATTTGTCACGCCCACTCCGTAACAAACCCAAACATTCACGATAAAAGGAAGTATTTAGTTTATAGAACAACCTTTTTTACAGGCTGAGCGTGGTAGGCCACAGCCCTGGCTAGGTGTTTGAGCAAGATGTTTCTTGCTCCGTTATGATCCCTATCAATTTTAAAACCACATGAATTGCATTTGTAAATTTTGGATTCACCAAGGTTATGTTTTATGTACCATGTAATCTTCTTTGCATATTATTAATATTCGCACATATTGTGTTCTAAAAACATTTCAAACCAGGTTATCATCTTTTGTTTCATCCCGTTTGTCATTTCTTGGATTTTGAATTTTGGAAGCAGAACAAATTTGTAATTTTCACAGATATTTTCTTACCTTTTTGTGATTTTTATTCATTTTTCTTTTAATTGTGTATCATTTTCTTTTGTTTGTTTTTCCTTTTAACAAAGATCTTTTGCTTTGATATTTGTTATATCTTTTTGATAACCTAAATATCTTTTGGATATCATTCTTCCCACATTCAATTATTTTTCCTTTTGAATTGTATCCAGTCATTAAACATGCAAACACCTGGATTTAATATATTATATCTACTTTTAAAAAATGAAAAATGTTTGTCATTTTGTGTAAACATCTCTTGCTTACATAGTTATTGAATCTTTTTCATTTTTTCTTGTTTTTGGTTTGATTTCAAATCTTTATATATTTGTATTATACGTTATGAGCAGTAGTGCTCTTAATGGGTCAAATCAATTTGAATCAACTTGAATCTAGAGATATGACCCTAACTCCCAAATCAAATTAAAAAAATACATACAACTCTAACCTTAAATTAGATAATCTTGACTTCTGAATTAGTGACCATAACTTCCAAATTAGGAGGTTATTTAAAGTGGAGTTAAATCATGTGATGGCTTTGTGATAATTACAAAGTACAGTCAGTGGAAATAACATAATTATGTTATTTCCATTTAGTCTAGGTTATTCCCACTCCAAAATGACGAGAGGTTTGTGTTTGTCTCGTCACTCGAATGACGAGAGGTTTGTGTTGCCTTGTCACTCAAACTATCATATAAAGCTCCTCATAGGCCTTAAGGCTCGTGAGCCTAGCGAGCCGAGCTGAGCCTAATATTATAGGCTCATAGGCTCGCGAGCCAAGCCCAACTAAGGCCTGGCTCGAGCCTCAAAGTAGGCTCGCGAGCCTTAAAAATTTTGGGGCC